AGCTCGCGGTACTTCTTGCGCGCGTTATCCTGCTCGGCCGTCTCGATGGCTCGCAGCGCTGTGTCGTCCATGAACTCGATGCTCGTGTCGCTAACCTGCTCAAAGCTGCCCATGTCGTTGTAGCGCACGACGTTGCGCGGCGTCGGCCGGCCATCCGACTCGTCGTCTTCGAACGTCGTGATGACGATGGCGCGATTGTCGCGCGGTGGGGGTGGCGGCGGCTGCTCCGTCGACGTCGGTTTTCCCCGGTCCGTCGTCGACCGTGTGTACGCCATCTCCCAGACGACCTTGCGGTCAGCGCCGACGGAGGAGGATGAAGAGGAGTCCGGCGCGCGTCGGTCGGCGTGATCGGTGTTACTGAAGGCGACGTTGTCGGCGAGGATGTTGATCTTGATCTCCGCTTGGCCGCTGCTGTAGCGCCGCGCGCTCTTGTCGCCGCTCGCGACGTCGTTCACTGCCGACGTATCGCCGCTGGATTTTAGTCGGCCGCGCGGCAGCTCGTGGTGTGGATGCGGCGGCGGCGGCGTCGGCGCCGGGGACTCGTCGACTTCCATGATGCATGTGTCTGTCATGAGATTTGGAACCCTGGCAAGGCCCGACTCGCGTCCGCCGGGCAGCGCCAGGCTGTGCGTATGTCGCAGGGCGCTGGCGTTGGCGTGCCGGTTGATCTTCGTGTTCTTTAGATGATGGAAGTCGCCGTCCGTGTACCTAGACAGACGGATAAATAGATACGTATTATAAGGGGTTAATAATAACAAATTTGTCATGTCTTATTGAGTATTATTATGTATTATGTATTATGTATATGTACATCTTTCAACTACGTGTTATGCATGTATCATGTGAGTGGACGTTATGGACAGGTGGTTGCTTTATGGAGGTTGGTTCACTCTATAACTTTCGCTGAAGACAAACGTCAATAGTGACCTTTACAGATAGCCGTTACAAAGAGGTGGCCGCTAAGGCTGTAAAAATGGCATCTATGAAGCCCATGAAATAAGGGTTAACCGAAATTCGGACCCTCTTCCCTTAATGAGATCACACTGGTGCCTTCGGGAGGTAGAGGATGAGGGAAAATTTACCCGAGACGAGATGGGAAAAGTGTGCCCTTCGTGCAGACGCAGAATATACGCGTCCTTGTAGAGTATACTCACAGAATTCCTACCGAATCTAGACTCGATCTACGCGGTCCTTGTAGAGTATACTCACAGAATTCCTACCGAATCTAGACTCGATCTACGCGGTCCTT